AAAAAAAAAAACAGGGTCCTGCTATGTGGTTCAGTGTAGCCTGGACTTACTGTGTAGCCCAGGCTGCCTTGAACTCACAGTGATCCTCTTGCCTTAACCTCCAGAGTGCTGAGATTCTAGATGTGTGCCAGCAGGCCTGGTTTTGTACTTTCCAGTTGTATGCATTTTTAGGTATGATGCACTTAATAGACTATCGTATAATGTGAAGATAGCTTTTACATGTCATGGAAAATAAAAAAAATTGGGTGACTTAGTTTTTGTAATATTCTCTTATGCAGCAGTCTGGAATCAAACTTACAATGCTTCCAAGGGAAGGGAAGGGAAGGGAAGGGAAGTCTGGTACTTTAAGCTTCTGAGTGAGAACACTAAACACGGTGCAAAGTACTGGGAGAAAGCTCCGTAGAGTGATCATCACGTGAAGCACATGTTGCTGGTGAGATACAAACGGCACGGCCCATTGTTCTGTTCCTGTAGGTCTTATGGGAGCTAGAAACCTCGCGCCTCATAAATCACTTTGAAAAATCCATGAAGGGGGAAGTTGAAGATGGTGGCGACGATGATGAATTGTACATAGTGGACAACAACGGGGAGGCTCAGCTGCTCGATTTTAGCGGCCAAGACTTTGAAAATAAGCTTCGAGTTCCTCTGTTAGAAATACTAAAGTATCCTTACCTGCTTCTGCATGAGCGTGTTAGTGAGTATCTTGGCTGTTCCTGAAGTTACAGCAGTTTTTACTTTTTTAAGAATTCCGGGCTGGGCGTGTAACTGTTTGGTTACATGTCTAGTGTTTGCAGAGCCTGGCTTTGGTTCCCAGCACTCGCATGCATGCAGATGCTAAGAATTAAGGTTTACATATTGGGGCTGGTGAGATGGCTCAGTGGTCTAAAGCACCTACTTGGAACAAGCTTGGCAAGGCATCAGGGACCGCGGTTCAATCCCCCAGCACCACATGCCAGCCCGCCCCGCCCCCTGGTGGGCTGAGCTGGCCACACACACACACACAAATAAATAAACTTTAAAAAAAAATAAAAAATAAAAAAAAATGGTTTACATATTTATAGTTTGCTTTCTACACATCTGATTGGAATAGTTAATATTGTTCATAGCATTTTATTATGGACGTTTACAGGCATAGATAAGTAAATTATAGTGAGAACATGACCTGTCCACCTTGAAGCTTCTACAGTTGGTAACGTTTCGCTGTATTTGCCTGTCACATGTTTTTCTATTTATTCAGTTAAGTTTTCATTATTGTAATGCATCTGTAGCAAGCTTGTTAGTCTTGGCACGATTGAAATTTTGGAGTGGATAATTCTTTGTTGTACGGGACCAGGCTGTGCATTGTGGAATATTAAGTAGCACCTCTGGTCTCCACACCACACCAGGAGCATCTTCCTCTCCGGCCATGCTGTTGGGACAGCCAAAAATGTCATCAGACGTTAGTAAATGTCCCTTGCTGAGCAATCGGGGCGAGCTCCCCTGGGCTGGAAAACGATATGTCCTAATTTTCACCTGTCACCCCAGCGTAACCAAGTGACTGTCTTCTTAGGGTTAATGTATTTCTCGTTCTGGAGATCTTAAAAGTCATGGCCTGGTCCTAATTGAGCAAATATAATGAAATAATAGCATCAAGGCATCTAACATTCGGTCCATATTCCTATTTTATCAGTAGTTATACAAATGTGAGGGTGGGGTTTGGCTGCCCAGTCAGTGACCACGTACACAAGTTTTATTTCTTTTTGGCCATGAGTTTCAGTTTAGAAGACCATGTAGTTAGCGTACAAAAAAGCATTCCTTGCAAATTGTTTTCTTATAATATTAAACCGTTTCTCCTCTGTATTTCAATAGAACTGAAAACTAAGACTTAAAGATTTGTTCAGATAGATCACTTCTTTCTAAATCAATAATTAGATTTAAAAATTCTAACATAGCATTTACAAAATTTATTAGAGAATAAGATATCCCAGAAATTACATAAGTTTGTGGTTCTTCACAACTCAGGTAGCCATCAGCTAGATGAAGAAGCAGAGCGTTCCCAGCATCCCAGCAGGCCTGTCCGTGTACGCGCTTCTAGTCCGAATCCCACTGCCCCGAAGCCAGCCACTGGCGTAGTACCTTGCTGATGTGCTACTAGCGTGATGTTTTTGAAACCTGGTAGACTAAAAGTTGATTGATCTGATAGGATAAATGGATAATTGAGGAAGTGGGGAGTGACTAGTCATTTGAGGAAAAGCTGATTCCTGTATCACGCATAATAATTTTAGTTGACCAAATGCATATGGATTTATACCTACAGCCATACTTTTTAAGATGTCGAATGGAGATAATTATGCTAGGTATAAAAAAGGTACAAAATCAAAACACCCCCCAAGACACCTTGGGGTCATCGTTGAATGTTCTGTCCAGTGTAAGTATCGTTACTGTGTTTGTATTGCTAGCATTTGTTTGCCTCAGCTAAGGAATAAAGGGTGAACTTTTCATTTACGTTCAAATCAACCAGAGAGCTAGATTTAGGGAATCTTGCTAAGTTGCTAAGATTTCTGTACTCACTGCCTTTTTTTATTTAGATGAGTTATGTGTTGAAGCACTTTGCCGGATGGAACAAGCCAATTGCTCCTTTCAGGTTTTTGAAAAACATCCAGGGATCTATTTGTTTTTGGTGCATCCCAATGAGATGGTGAGTATGAGTGCTAAGCTGGGAAGGACATTTATTCTTGTACATATGGGGTGGTTTTAGTAGAGGTTTTAGATATGTATTTTGTTTAAAATATTTGCTAATTTTTAAAATTTCTCATTTTAAAATTAATACAGTTGGTGCTATAGGATCTCAAAGAAGAGGGTACCCATGAGGGCGGGAAATCCTAGTGGGTGACACTTGAGCCTAACAGACACGGGAGTACTTCTCCTTCAGTTTATTGAAGTGAAGGAAGAGTGCTCTTTGTCTTTCCTGTTGCCTGCCCTACTTGAGATGCCCCACATGGAAATGTCAGTTAAAATATCTGAAAAGCCAGGGGAGGTGGTGCATGCCTGTAATCCCAGTACTTGGGAGACTGAGGCAGGAGGATTGTCGCGAGCTGGAGATGAGCCTGGGTTAAAAGTGGCCCAAAATGCGTATGGATTTGTACCTAAAACCATACTAGCTCAGCCTGAACTGAGTAGGGAGACTCTGTCTCAAAAAGACCCTCTTAAAAAAAAAAAAAAAACCTGAAAAAAATTATTTTGCTCATGGATGAGATTGAAGAGGCAAAAGCAGGTAGACCAGGAAATCACCAAGTGCTAGAAATGAAGAGGAACATGAAAGTCAGGATGGTGGGGAAGAAAAAATTCATAGGGCAACCCCAGAGCATTAAAAGCGGACTGTGGTGTCGTGGCTGAGGTTTGCGGTCTGATCACACATGGCAAGACGGTCTGTGCTACAGCTCCTGTGCACTTTGGCACTTAGCAGAGTTCCAATTTTAAACCAGTTTGTTAGCTGTTAAAGGCTGACCTCAGCCAAGCTAAGGTAAGCAAAAAAAAAAGTTCCCTTCCCTTTTTTCTTGTTGTGGCAAAGAAATCATGGTGATGGGATTTCCTGTAAAGCTTTTAGTAGAAGGAAAAGTATTAGGACACTCATCCAGAAGTCCAGATTGAGCAAATCCCTAAGAAAGAAGAAAAAGCACAAATAAAGACTGAAAAAGAAAGCTGGGGAAATAGCTCAGCAGCGTACGCAGCTGCCTGCAAGCTCAAGGGCCTGAGTTCGATCTCCGGTACCAAAAAGCAAGAAAGAAAAGAAAAGCCAAGAGATATGGAGGATAGAAATACTAGTGTTAATATAGATGTAAGGTTCAGAAAGATAAAAATAGAAAGGCCATATGGGGGAAATGATGGATAAACATTTACTGGAGTTTGAAGACTCCTGATTAGAAGAGCCTATACAGTGTCAAAGAGAAGGGAAGTCCCATGTCTAGACAGTGAAATTTAAGACTGTCAAAGACAAAGTAAAAAATTCCAGAGAACATAATCATATAGAAAAATCAGGTGAACACAGATTTGTAGCAGTCTGTTGCATGCAAGAAGACAGTGGAGTATTATTTTTGTACAGTATCGAGGGAAAAGCTTAAAACCTAGATTTTTATTTCCAGCCAAACTCTAATAGGACTACTGTGTTTTATTTATAAAAGTCCTAGAAGGGTTTTGCATACAAAGAAGAGAAGACATCATCTTGTGAGAAGTTGACTACTGTGGTAGAATTTTTTAAGGAGTGGCATGAAAAAACAATAATAATAAAAAAAAAAATGGTGGAAAAAAAAAACAGTGAATTTTACAGGATACAGATTTTATTGCCAGAAAGGTCTTTCAAAAAATATGGCGCATGTTTATAAAATGAAGATGAGACCAAATAAACCTACAGTCTCACAATTTAAAAAAAAAAAAAAAAGAGTTGAATGAACATGAACGTTTCAGTAGCAGTGCTGCTTTGGGTCGGTGATAACACCCTGATGAAGGGCTTGGGAGGAAGGAGCCCAGAGGCGTGAGCGCCCCCGTGCGCGTTGCTTATCCTGATGGTGCAGGGAGGTAGGAGTTATTTTCAGAAGGAAGAAATTTCTTCAAAGGAAATAGGAAAAGGGCTCATACTTAGAAACAGGTTAAAGACATTAGTATTTATTGCAAATGGCCTAAATTTGTCAGTTGAAGGATATATAGATCACATTAGATTTATAAAGTATATCTAAAAAGATTCTAGAAGACAGCTAAAATGTAGGGCCATCAAAAAAGGTTGATGTAAGGCGGGGAGGGACAGGCAAATGCTCATCTAAAAACACTGGTCAGTCATTAGCAATATCAAACAGATTTAAAAGGGTTGGACAAAAAAAAAAAAGGGTTGGATAAGGTTGAGTAGCTCATACAATGGTTAACATAACCTCAAAGTGGATGTTGCAATTATTGGTAGAATTAAAATAATTAAATATGTTTCTAAAAGGATTTTTTTTTAACATCCAAAATATTTTCCTAATACCGTATTTCTAGTCATTGTTTAAGTGATTGGACATAATTGTCTCAAATAGCTTATGAGAACTAATTCAATTCAGGATCAAGATCCACACATTGTATTAATTAGTAACTCAAGTATATTAAAATCTACAAAGAATCCTATTTTCCTATCCATGTCATTGCTATCTGTAATTTTTGAACGTGCCGTGTTCTACATTTAGATTCGGCGTTGGGCTATCCTGACTGCAAGAAACCTTGGAAAAGTGGACAGAGATGATTATTACGACTTACAGGAAGTTTTAACTTGCCTTTTTAATGTCATTGAGTTGGGCCTTTTAGAAAGTCCAGACATTTATACTTCTTCTGTCTTTGAAAAGGGTAAACTGATTCTTCTGCCCACACACATGTATGATACCACTAACTACAAAAACTACTGGTTAGGTGAGTATTGTTCCTACATTTCTTTAATGAATATCTTCCTGAGTGTCCTGAACTGGAGGTGATCTCTTGGTGATCTGTCCCCAACTGCTAAGTACAGGGTTTCTTGGTTCCCAGTTCTTGTCTGTCATTAAATTGACTTAATAGTCATATATGTTATGATTATTACTAAACATTTATTCTAGGGGGATCACCCACTTGGGGCCCTCCCTTCTGTTCCTTTCTTGGACAGAAGCTTTCTTTCCCCCAATAAATTTATTTTGCCCATTAAAAAAAAAAAATTTTTTTAACTTTTATTCTAGAAATCAATAGAAGTGCATTGAAGCCATGTCAGATAATTATTGAAAGCAATATTAGAATAACAAAGTATCAGTACTGTGTAGTAGTGGACTTTAGATGAGATTTGAGGGCCGGGGAGATGGCTCAGTGGAATAAGCACTTTCCTGGTAAACACAAGGGCCTGAGTTCAATCCCCGGTTCCGCCAAAA